CTCTTTCTATTAATTTTTAAAGGGTGGTTTTATTCTCATTCTATGAATTGTTAATCCCACTTCATGTTTATTAAAAGTTTTATTGATAGATTATATTCTATCCTATACTTTTAGTATAATCATGGAGTATCTTGTTTTGAAAAAATCAAATATTATTTTATAATTATTAAAATTCATAAATAAAAGTTGAGGTTTTCAATATTTTAATGACTCTACTATATTTCTTGTTGTAGATATCTCATTGTTGTATGCTATTTAGAGACATCTACTATATTTCTTGTTGTAGATATCTCATTGTTGTATGCTATTTGGAGACATAAAACAAGAACAAGGTAGTATCACTGAGTTTTTTTTTTAGAATAAATTAAATTTAGTGATAAAAAAGGATAAAATTTAAATATCCTAATTATAAAAAATAATTGGGAATAACATCTTTTTTTAGGGGCTGTTTGGGAACACAGTTCAACCTGCGTTCCCAAAAAATTCAAAATTTGTTTTTGCTAAAATTTAATATGGTTTATAAGTTTTGGATCGTTTTGATGTGCTGGTATTAAAAATAATTTTTAAAAAATAAAAAATATCATTAGCATGTATTTCGATACAAAAAATTATTTAAAAAACAACCGCTATCATACTGCTAAATACACTTTTATTGTGCTGAACTCAGTATTAACAGTAGTTGGCTAATCAGGATGTTAATGGTTCATAATTAACAGAACAAGAGATTGATTGAACTTATTTAGCATTACGACCCGAACAAGGACCTAATTACCGCTACAAGAAGAGTTCAAGGGCTACTGTGCCATCTCTCAAATATTTGGACTTAAACAATTTGACTCCCCCATGCTAAAAGCCTAAAAACACGGATACATGATAATACATTTTGTATGTTAATTAACCCGTACTAAGCAGTGATTTTGTTTTGTTTTTTTTTTTAATTTAGTTTTTTTAATTATTTATTTTTAAGTTGAAACTTAATTAATTTTTTTTAATTTTAATTTTCAGTATTAAATTTAGTAGGTGTTAGATTTTATAATTTATTTCAGTTTATTTTAGATTTTATATTTTATTTCAGTTTATTTTTTATTGAGTTATTTAAATTTTATAAGTCACGTTTAGTATGTTAATTCAAATTAATTGAGGTAATTTTTTTTATCTTTTTAATTATTTTTTTATTTTTATTATTTAATGTTAAGTTAAATAAAAATTAAGTTTTTTATTTTTTTATTTTTTTACTATAAATTTATCATGATCATAACCAATTTTAACTTTTAAAAAACAAGTCAAAAAATATTAAATGACCAATATTTATATGACATTTAAAAAGGAATCAAAGTTATCATGTGATCAATTATAACTCTTAAATTTAAAAATGTATTTAAATGGTTAAATAACCAACCTTAATAAAAAAAATAAAAAGAATCTCAAAACAATAGAAGATAAATTACTTTTTATCTTCATTGTTTTTATCTTTCCTATCTTGAATCAGATCATAAGAAAAATACTAAGCTTAGCATTGATTGATATGATTAAAATTTTCGATTATTTGATATATATTTCTATTTCAATAATTACGCAAATCATGATCCGTAATTCAATAATGCTATCTATGGAAATTATATGATCCCGTTTATATATGTTAAAACCGTGTGTAAGGATATGCGGCAATCCCGAGGTGAATAAATAGAAAAAGAAAAGGAAAACGAGGAAACAAGATTTGCTTCCCTTTCTGGTTCGAATAATTATTTTTTTTTCTTTAAATAGCATCAAACTTCCGAATAAAGTACGCCCATTTTAGTTTCTGGAACCTCTTTAAAGGGACTGAGAATACCATGAGACCGTAAAACGAGAGATACAGAAGTTACAGACGCCGTCCAAAACGATAGAAAGAACGATGGTGTTTTTCTGTCAACGTTCATCATGGATATCCTTTATCCTTTTATTGGCAATAAGCTTTGCATCTTGCCTTGCTGAAGTGGACTCATCATCGCCATTGAAGGGCTGGAACTTTGGAGAGCTTCCCAAGCATACTCCTATTCCTCCATCTGGGCCTAGCAGAGGCAGCTCAGATACTCCACCACCACCTCCAAGGCTATTGCTTAAGGGTTGGAACTTTGGACACCTCCCTAAATATACTCCTCTTCCTCCATCTGGGCCTAGTAGGAGAAGCTCAGATTATCCACCACCACCACCGTCGTCATTCAAGAATTAGAATTTCGAAATGTAATTTAAAGTTCTGAATAATCGAGGCTCAGTTGTGGTAAAAGTTATGAATTGTTTAAATTTATTTTCCGTTGAAAGTTTATTCTGTACCACCATCATCTTTCGTTGGGGATTTTTTAACGACATACAAGTGATGTCAGGCGGACTGGAAAACTCAATGGAATGCACAAAATTCCCCGCGTCACCTTAAATAGTTGTTTCAGATCACATTACTGCCATTGATATTAAGCGATCTAATTTTGGGACCCCTTATTTTTTGTTTTTATGTTGTATTTGTTAGCGATTTTTATATTTGAAGCTTTATTTGCCCACTATGATTGCCCCTACGAGCATGCATTACGAGTATATTTGTTCATCCTTGCTAATTTTTCATCACAAAGAAATTGTTTCCTTCAATACTCATAGTCTGTGGAGTTCTTAAAATTATTGCTTAGTTATTGTCTTTGTAATGGATTCAAACAAGCAGAGTTCTGTACATCTTAATGATCTAAAAATATTAAAAAAATTAATTTGAAAAAAATAAAATAAAAATAAATTTTTTAAAAATATTTTTAAAATATAAAAACAAACAAATAGTAACACATCAGACAAGTGCAGTTGGAATTTCAATGGCTGGATTTCATCGTGGCAATGTCGTAGGCCTAATGTTAACTCCAATTATGTTGCCAGCAATTGGATTTTCTGGCCCTTCTGTTCTCTTCCCGTCTCTATGGCTAACAAGACGGGCGAAAGGGGTCACCAGTGATCCAAGAGATAGCCCTTTCGTTAGCAAAACAAAGCTGAGGTCAATCCAAGCTGGTAAAACTGATTCTCCAGCAAATAATAGTGGCCAGCTTCCTCCACTTACGTCTCCTATTATCAAACGCTCTAAATTTCAGGGATATTTTGTTCTTCTATCTTGGATGCCTATTTATTTCAACACCGTAAGTTATTATTACCCCTTATGTTTTATTTTATTAACGTCGAAGGATCATGGTGAGAGCTTTGTGCTTAGAAACCAGCTCTTATGAGACGATATGCTATTTTGAATCAGTAAATAGCATATTTAAGACTTCTATGATTAGTTAATCACAAATTTCTTTTTGAACGCAGGTATTTAATGTGAACTTGAAGCAAGCGGCATGGTTTAGCGCTGTCCCATGGGGAACAATGGCGATTTCTGGTTACATTACAGCGGCATAATCCGATTAGTTGATCAAGGCTGGCTACTCTTTGACGTCAGTCCGAAAGATCATGCAGGTAATTCCTCTACTCATTAAGGGAAAGTGTGCCTTATATACTTAGCATGTGATTCTTGTTTTAATTGGAAAATAACCAGAAAAAAGAAATAAATAAAAAGGAAAAAGAGAGCAGGGGGAGCTGAATTGATTGTAAATCACAGTATTAGTGAGCTCTCTTATCTTAGGTATGTTTTTGGAAGACCTAACGGTGGAAGCTCAGACCTTATACATTGGTTTTGAAGTAAAATTTTGACTCGCTTGATATGGCAGATACCTTTTCACATGACTGCTAGGCTGATTAATTTTTAAATGTGCAGTCTATTAGATGCATTGGACCTGGTGTTTCCTTGCTCTGCTTAAATTATGCCAAGACACCGGTGGCTCGGCTGTTCTAATGACAATAGCACTGAGCTTGAGCTCTCTCAGCCAAGCTGGCTTTCTTCTCAACATGCAAGCAAGTTTAACCATGATGTATCTTGTTAATTAGCTCTACGAGTAAACTCACTGCTCCTCCTGCTAGTTGGATCACCTCCAGTTGAGCTCATTTTCACTTATTATTTTCTTTTTAATCAGGATATAGCACCTCAGTATGCAGGATTTCTCCATGGTAAGCTCAGGGCTTCTTGGAGATGTTTTCAACTAGATAATCAATGTTCTTTTAAATACCTACACCTAAACTTTTGTCACCAAATATAATGACTTGCTGTACAGGAATAGCAAGTTCAGCTGGAACATTAGCAGCAATAATCAGCGCGATTGGAACAGGTTATTTTGTTCAGTGGTCAGGATCTTCCCAGGCGTTCCTCAGAGTCACTGCAGGGCTCTATTTCGTTACAGCCATCTTTTGGAACTTGTTTGCTACAGGAGAGCGAGTTTTCAAGACTAGACTCGAGTGTAAGTGAAGTTTCCACTATTCTGGAAACAGCTCAGGTCTAGAACTAGGAATAATATCTATGTAAAAGGGTGAAGAATACGAGTTGATGTAGGTTAAAATCTTAAGTCAAATCAATCTAGGCATGAAATGTTTAGAATGGAGGGAATCGGTGGTGTACAGTCTGTTTACTGCGTGCATTTATGCATTCCTTGTGTTCTTTAGTGGGTGGTTTTCACTTCGATATGTCCATTAGAATGAACTTGGACAAGGAATTAGTGTACACAGTATCAAACTATAAGACAAAATTGGTGTCAAGCAACATAAATAATCGTCCTCGTAACTTCTTGTTTATACTGGACTGGAGAGTCAAGTGCTCGATTCCGATTTCAAAATCTGCTGTGCACAGCGAACGTCTTTGTTTTTTGAGTGTCTTGAAGGCATGTGAAGCCGATTCCTAACAACATTACTGGATAAATTTCATAATAATTGATTTCAGCAAACATGGTTCGAATGCAAGATTGTTCATGGCTGAGAACCAAGGAAGTTATTCACATTGGATACTCCATTTTACCAGTCCAACTTCTCATCCTTGAAGCTAGTTCGTGTTCGCCCTACATGTCTTTGGAAGACCTGTCAGACTGCAGTGATAATTCTGTAATTCACCACCCATCAGTCGGTCTAAAGCTTTACAAAAAGATGAAGACAACATGTCAATATAGAATCTCACGCCGTCGGTAAATAGAAAATTTATCGATTTGGAGTGTCAGATAATGTTGACAATAACACTCCAGTGGCAAAATTGTAGCAACCAGAAGAACGTCTCCCTCTTTTTGTATCCATTCCCTCCAATTTTATCTTATAGATTTAATTTTTCCAAGAAAAAAAATAAAAAAACGTTGAACGAATTATTAAATTTACAAGATGAGTTGATAACAAACGTTAGCTCCTTTTATTTTACCTTTTTTTTTTTGGCATGTATCTTGGTTGGATATCTTATCCCAAATTTTCTCCATCACATAATTTTTTCCCAAATGAGCACCGAACCAACTTTCATTTCTCCACTAATAAAAATGAGACAGCCAGCAGGTATTCACCCTTCAAACTCAAAAAACCACTCAACTTATGTTTATTGGTTGTTGGATCTTCAATTATATATATATATATATAAAAAATAAAAGCTAGGTGGGGAGTTAAAGACTCCACCAAAATCCATCTCGAAAACTTTCTCGCACGAATTTACAGTCAACTCCGCCAAAAAAAAAAATCCCTTGCTTTCTGCTTCCAATTATTGTCTCAGCTTCGAAGCCTATACCCTTTACCCAGCATCTCACAAGGCTACATCCCTCTTTTCTCTCTTGGTAGCCACACCAAGCCCAGATAGAATTCTTGCTGGGTTTCATAAGTGGATTTCAAAGATCATCTACTAATCAAGAAGTTGAGCTAAAAGTGAAAGCAATCAAGATTCGTGAACTTGGTTCTTCTTGTTTTGTTGCTTGTCGAAGATAATGAATTTCAGGAGCTTAGAAGAGTTTTGGTCTTTCTATGTGACTCAACATTCAAAACCATCAACAAGACGTTTGCATTTTGTGGGCACGCTTTCAAGTATACTGTTATTGCTGTACTCTCTTGTTTTCAATTTGTGGTTTTTGTTCTTTGTGCCGCTGGTTGGGTATGGATTCGCTTGGTACAGCCATTTCTTTGTGGAACGGAATGTTCCTCTAACTTTTGGGCATCCAATATGGTCTTTTCGATGTGATTGCAAGATGTTTGGATTGATGCTCACTGGTCAGATGGATAGAGAAATCAAGAGGCTCGGAAAGAGGCCTATTTTGCAGGGATTTTGATTATGTTGTAAGCACCTTTTCTGTTTTACCACCGAAATAATCATGCATGGAAATTCTCAATTCCCAATCTTGCCGCCCTGACTGTTTCTTGCTTCTCTCTAATGTAAACATGTGTCTAAATTACATGCTCTGGGTATAGAAACGTGTAGATTCCAGAATCAAACCCCTCTTTTTTTTTTGTGGGTTTTTTGAGAATGAAAAGCCAAAACCTTCCCATGCAAGTTCGGTGTTTTTGAATCACGGTACGGTTACTCCCGTACCTACAATTCACCACCGTCATCATCAGTGGCCAATATTGAAGATGAACTTCTAGTCGATCTTCTATCAATACCCGTTGTTTTGCTGGCTGCCCAAATTAATCATCTTCCTCGCTGCCTTAGCAGCTAGCTAATCCAGCTTGGCCAATATTTTCTTAACCACCATCCTTGGCATATTGGTGATGGTTGGGAATGCAGGCTAGCATTAGTTCACATCGTGTAAAGGACTCGCATCCTGGCACCGCGATTCATTATTTACTGCTTGGCAAAGGAAATGAAAAATCACGGGCTACACACCACCGTAAACAGGATAAAACAGGATAGTGGGCAGCATGTTCCGGTCCGTCGAAATGTAATGCAGTTAACTAATACGAAATACAATGCCGGAAAGAGAATAAAGCGATTAACTAGGTAGCTTCAAAGGTAAATAATCTATTGATTGCCTCAAGGATTTTGAACTGGCCCTGCAGAACTTGTATTTGATTTTGGAGAGAACATTTTTGTTCATTCTCCAGGTTTTGGTGTAAAAAATTCAACTCACCAATTCAGTTCAAGTATGTTACAAGTTCCAACATCCTATAGACTTTGGACTCACTTCCTTTGATATTCAACATAGCCAAAAATATGTGATATCAGCCGCCAAAACTTTTTTCATGGTCATGAATTTTTTTTTATCTCAGCCAACATTAGTTTCTGGCCTTTGTTCGGCTGAAACTATCATCCCCTTTGGTCACCTGGAGTGGAAGATGATTATCACAAGTCAGTATTCCTTGAAAATGATGGTAATGGCATGGCCTCTTGTGGACGAAGGATGACAAGCACACAAAACATTCCAAGCATTGGGAGGACTAGGAGCCACTTCAGCAGTTTATAGTAATGCATGTGAAATGTAAGGGAGAAGTCATCTGAGAAATAGAGCCCGTTCTTATCAACCATCTCCACCAAAACAGTTCCAGTAGTCCTCACTCCAACAGTTGGAAGTTTTACCCGATAATTTCCTGGACGGTCAAAGATTTGACTTTGCTTTATTCGTCTCTCACCTTGATAATTGCCAGGAACTAAAAGGGTTGTCTGCATTGTTCCATATGAAAATTGGAATTTTAAGCTCGTTGGATTGCTGTTGAAAACCATAATTTAAATGTACAAGGAGCAACTTACAGTGACATTATAAGGTGCTTGAGACCCAGATGGGAATCTATACTTGTCTACAATCTCAAATTCGACCCAGAAGCTCTTACCCTCCTCATCACGAAAACTTCTTGATGAAGGTGTAACATAAACCCCTTCGCGGTTGTAGCGGTTCACCACGTTGTTTCTTCCTTGATTAGTAGATCTCCAAGCCTGAGAATTGCACAATATGCTTAATACTTAAAGCATATAACATACAAGAAGTCACCACAAATATAGATTCACAACTATCATGCCTTGAGAGGGTGATGTGGAACAGGAGTTGAAAAGCAAAAGACATTCCCATTCATTGTTGAGACTATGAGATCTAGATCATCTCCACCATCAACATTATCTGCCAAGACCATGCTGTATCTGAGCAAAGAGAGACATGATTTGGATAAATCACATAGTGCAATAAATAAATTGAAGAGTCAAAACTTAAAGGATACAAGCATATCTTACGAAGTTTCACCAATATCAACAACATCAGCACAAGAAGTTGGTCCGTCTATGAGGTACAGATAACCATCAAATGATGTTGTAACAAGTGTGAGTCCCTTGCTTTTCTCCCCCCGTTTACTCAAGTCAATGAGAAGAACTTGATTCATCACTCTACCGTGAGTTCTATATGGGTAAGGCCGAACAATAGAACCATCCTTGCCACTAAGAACATATATGTTCCCTGATAGAGTAGGAACTACAATATCAGTACGACCATCCCCATCAACATCACCTATAGTTGGACCCTGAGGAATGTCGCAATCTATGTTAGATCACTCATCATCAAACACACATGCAATTAAATCTTATTTATATGAAGGTCATATCACTTTATCATCAAACACTCAAGCACTTTTTTGCTAAAATCTTCATTTATGAATTGGGGAAATTTCTTCATTATTATTGGCATAATAATGTTTATTACATTGTTTCATTAATGGTTAAATTTTTTAGGTTTCTTCAAATATGGCTCGGAAGTTCCTGTGCGGGATTATCTTTATTTAGTTGTATTTGGGTTTTAGTTTAATTAATATTTTACTATTTAGAGATCCTAATGTTAGATGAATTATATTAGTTGTGTGTGTTTTAATTAGGAATTTTTTTTCTATAAAGGGTTTTAGTTCTACAACTAGAATAAATAAGGATGTCTAATTTATTTTGATATTGAGTTTCAAACTATTATTCAGATTTTATAAAATACTATAAAGTTTTCTCTACATTTCTCTATAACTTAGGCTTAAGAACTCTAGCTTATATCCATGTTATACGCCGTGTCAATTGGTATTGGAGCAGCTGGTCTATTTGATGGACAAAGATAATAGCAACCCATTCTGCGATGCAGGAGTGGAGGTCATCTAAGGGCTCACAAGGCAGCGCAAGGAACCAATCACATAAACTAGATCGTTTTGAGCAAACAACGGCGGCAATATTGACTAATTTGGAACATATCATTCAAATGATGGGAAGCACAAATAGGGATCATGAAGAAGAAGAGAAGAATTTGCCTAGAGACTTACCTCGAGGCAAGCCAAACTCCGGACCTATTCATGAATTTTATGAGATTCCATTCTATGATGGGAGATTTTCAAAGAAAAGATTTATTAACTAATTGGCAGGGTTGGAAGCTTATTTTTATTTCAATAAGGTTCCTTATCATCAAAAGATAAGACTTGTAGCACACAAACTTTCTTATGGTGGTTTGAATTTCTAGACTTTAGTACTCGTATTAGTCTGCTTTTAATCCCATCTTGACAGGATTTGAGATGATCATTACTTTTGGAATTTATAAAGGATTATTATAAAGAGATTTTACATAGAATAGATAAGCAATTTGATTGTTATTATTTGTCTTTTATTGAAGGAAATTAGGGAAGAGATGTCATCTTCAAAGTAAACAGTTTCAACATCACAACAGAGACAACAACATTGCTACAAATACTACTCTACTTGTTGATGTTTCATCTACTAATTGTGAAGAATAAATCTAGAAAGCTCACAAATTAGTATCTTGTAGTGATTATAGAGATCCTGCAAACAAGGAAATGGAGGACATGATAATTTCTAACAATTCTTCTAAAGATATTATGAAAGATTATCTTGAAGTTTTTTTAGATACAAAGGTTGAAGTATTAGAGGTCATTGATGATGACGAACTAAGTTTGAAGTAGAAGAATGTGGAAAAGAATTACAAGCGGACTCCATAGGAACATAAAGTATGAATATTAAATATGGATTTTTCTTTAACATACACATATCATAAATTAAATTTTGGAGTTCACAAGTCAAAGCCACGCTACTTTGTGAACGTGTTGGCTACATTGCTATATTCGAAGTATTTGTTGATGTGGAAGAGTTCAATTCTTGACAAATAACTCGAGGGCAAGTTTATTGAAAGTAGAGGGGGCTGACGTAGAGAAATTTCTTCATTATTCTTGGCATAATAATGTTCATTGCATTGTCATTAATGGTTAAGATTCTTAGGTTTTGAAAAGTTTAAGAGTCCAAGGTAAATCAAGCATGATTTTTAATCTAACTGTTGAATTGAGCTGAAATTTTAACAGAAAATTCTAAAAGTCCTATTTCCTATTAGATTAAAATTTCATGATGATCGGAGATCGAAAAGACCTTCAAATAAGGCTTAAAAGTTACTATGAGGGAATGTATTTATTTACCTTGTTGTATTGTGATTCTTTTTCCTATTTAAATTAGGAATTTTAGTTTAATTATTATTTTACTATTTAGAAATCCCAATGCTAGATGGATTATATTAGTTAGGTAAGTTTTAATTAGAAATCTTTTCCTAAAAATGATTTTAGGTCTACAACCAGTATAAATAAGGATGTCTGGTTTATTTTAAGATTGAGATTTAGATTATTATTCGGATTTCATAAAATACTAAAGTTTTCTCTACATTTCTCTAAAGTTTAGATTTGTAACCTTAGGGCTTGAGAACATTAGCTTGTATTCAAGCTACATATCACGTCAATTTAAATGAAGATCATATACAAGCTGGGATTCAGTTTGTAGTTTCACATTCAAACCGTTGTAAACACAAAGGGTATCATCCTCAGATATGTAATTACATGTATATATGTAGAGATGACCATTATATTGATGGTTGTCATGCCTAGCAGTGCTCTCCAAAAGAAGAGGGGCAAAGTCTTGGGTTCAGAACCTACTCCAAGGACAAAAAGATATGCCCATGCCATCTAAAAAGTATAGACAATGTTTGATTTTTTTTTCTTATGCAGGGTCTAAGGTCAAAAGCATGATTGCCATCACCACCCCCACCCCCACTCCAATCTATATTGTACAAGCATGATTTTAGAATCATAATTTTAGAATAATATTAGACAATGCTCATACACAAAAAGGAGAGACAAACAAGCATATCCTCCATGCAAATAATATTAGAATCATAATTTCTGCATTGAATGAAAAGTTCCTGGATGAGCATGACTTGCTTCTACAAGATAAGGAATGAAGTTTCTGTTGCTCTAGAATTTCACATCCTCTACTGCAAGTAATAAAGCATCATGAAACTTGTTTTTGCACAGTTACATCCATAATACAATAACAATTTCTTCGTGATTTTGTGCGTTTCTATACAAGTAATATGTGGAAACAAAGTACCTTACTTTTTAAAGATTTTGCAAGAATCTAAATCTGGAACAAGACAAGACCCTTTCCAGATCAAGCAATGAAGCACCCATTGCTCAATCTTACAATTGTACCACCAGTAGACCACTATTAACTAAGAAATACAGTTAGTGGACAGCACATATAGGAGATCATAGTTAATTCATACAGACATCATCATAAGAAGAAGAAAGTAAGAAATAGAGATCCAACTGACCTGGGGAATAAGACTCTTAAGGTTTCTTTCCCAAATTTCTTTTCCTTGTGATGTCCAAGCAGCAACATTTCCATGTACATCAGTGGTCACTAGTTCAATTTTCCCATCATCATTGATATCAGCTGCAACTACAGCACCTTGAATTTCAGCCATTTCAAGAGGGAATTTTTCCCTAATATTTCCTGAATAAAAGACGAACTTTAGATTCTAACTTCATTTGGAGAATTAGAACATCACACTTGATAAGCCAGTTAAAATGGAAGAAAATACTCTCAGATTTCTGCATAAACATTATTTTGTTTGTAAGGCATGAAGCTCAAAAGTAAATACATCAGATTTTGATTTGTAAAAATTGTAAGGCATGAAACTCATAAGTAAAAACATCAGAAATTTCCTTTTCATGTCATTCTAAAAAAATATCAGGTAAAATTTAATAGTTCTCTAGTTACTGCACAGATTAATAGTTGGATTGCATGCATTTAAATTGAAAAGCAAAGAGTGTTGATAAGACAGATTTTTCTTGTTCATCTTTCAAACCACTTTGAATTCCCTCAGAGAACTCTAAACCAGGAAAATATTAATAAATTGATCCATGTAGTGACAAGTAAAAGAATGTATCAGTTGAACCACATTCCAACTCAGCAACCAGAAAAAAAGTGAAAACAATCATAAAATGCCTATGAAGCTAAGAGAGTTGCACAAGCTATTCCAGAGTAAAATAGGCATGATACGAGAGTTTGAATGCCAATTCCTATGTTGCATTTAGAACAGGAAAAGATCACATGGAAATTTGTACTCAAGTGATTTTGTATGAAGAATAACATAGCTGATAAAGCTGGAAGATAAAAATAAAAAATCAATGAAAGCTCATTTAGTAGAAGATAGGATGACATGATACAAAGAGGAAATGATAAAGAAAATGAAGGGCACAAACTTGAGTTTACCATGATGATCCAGGACATAGAACAAGCCAAATGAAGTCCCAACAAGAATGTCCAAATTCCCATCACCATCCAAATCAACCACTGAAGGTGAAGAGTATATATATGCACGGAAATTTGCAGTATTTGTACTTAAATCTAGTTCTCGAGTCCACTTAACTAGCTTTGTATCAAGGTTGAATACAACAATAGAACTGGCAACATATTTCCCAACATCTATATCACCAAGTTCTTTCAAATGCTCTGGATTGTCATAATACCTGTCAATCAAATCATGGACCTCATTGACTGAAAATCAACATTACTTCATTGACTGAGAGAGATAGGCTGGTCATTGTTCCAATATTCAATTAGGTGCTAAAGTTCATTTTAAAAACCAGTGCACAATTAGTATCTGATTTTCACTATATAAGAATACGGAAATATATAGTGGTGACACCATAAAGAGAACTCACTCGTTATCAAAGAAATATGAAACTGCAACAATCATTTCAGCTACTCCATCATTATCAATGTCAGCTATCACCTGGTGAAAACAAGAGAGAGAAAAATGTCATCTGATTGCTATAACCACATCTTACTTGCATCTGTGAACAAAAGTCATCTATTGCAATGCATTACTGCTATTAGGTTTTAGACTCACAGGTGTGCACAAGATATGTGAGTCAATATTCACATAATCCTCCAATTTCTCATGGTGCCCTTCTGTCCATTCTTCATCTCCCCACATGGATTCATTTACGTAATCATTGTAGTCATAACTGTACTCATCAGTTAATTCATCACTATCACGGAATAACTCGAAAGATGAATCAGCATCTGCTTCTAACCCTTCATCATTTTCAACAGTTGCTGCATGAACATTTTCATGGTCATTCTCTTTAGATTCTGAGCCACCTTCCTGTGAACCCTTTGAATTGTCAACTTCGAGAAGCCTTCTCCCAGTGTTTGTTCTATTTTCTGCATTATTGGTTCCCTTATCTACCGTATTGGTTCCATTATGTGCATTGCTGGTTCCACTCTCAGCTTTATCGGTTCCATTTGACCTGGCACCTAGAGAAGAGTTATCCACATGCAAGGGCAGTTTGATAATTGGCTCAGTTTGATTCTCGTTCATTTTCTTTTCAGGCTCACTGGATGCATTTTCTGGATGACTATTCTCTGTTGATGTAGAAATTGAAGCGTCTGTTTCAGGTGTATTTTGATGTGTACTTCCAGTTGTATCTGCAAATAAAAAACAGTCAACATTTACCAAATAAAGTCAGTTTCTCAAAGTTTCTTGGATTTTTCCCATCATATAATGCCAGATCAGGCTCAAATACACCTGGACAGGGTTCAGGTTATCATATAGATGTTAGAATTTCCCTGAAAAAGAAAAATTGATATTCTGCTTGCACTCCTGAACGAAGCTCAAATAAAAATCAATGTAAGAAATGGCAGCACAATATGCATCCAGGCCTAAATGTGTATAAGGAGCCAATTGAAGCTTGGAAAACTGTTGAAGACATTGGAGATTATCACCCATAATTTGCTGCTTTCTAGTTCCTCCTATGCTTAGATTACTACTGGATTGAATGATGTGATTATGTTTTTTCTTTGCCTTCCAAATTAATAAGAACATAATTGGTACAATTATGATTTCACCATCCTCAGTACTGTCATCCTTAAGGGGGGCCTGTTTGTCAACTTGGAATAAAGTCTAGCAATGAGAATAGATAGGAAAGTTCATTCATTCACATCCCTGGTGCTAGGTACACAATAGTAAAATGGGTATGCGAAGTAGATAAGAAATGAAAAGACATTCTTCCATATTTTATAACCACTGACAGGATCCAGGTTTTAAAACCAAGGCCAATAACACATCCACGCCACTACACTCGTAACATCCACTCCCACCACCCCGAACCCACCCCGACCCTAAAGGTCAATACCCCTATTCCCTAAGGCTGTCATTACCATCATACAGTCAAATTTATTATTGATGTCATGTAGCTCTAATCTCCTTCCTAGTTCTTCACACCATGCACATTAAAGCCACTCATTTGCATTCAGATTCCCTATCCATCATTCTAGGTTACCAAATGTGCCCGTAGAGAAATGGAATGTAATGTCTTAGTTCTAATTAATCATGAAGTGTGATTCTACACTGTCTCATTTCTTTAGGTACATTTCAAGATTCCTAGGGGTTTTTAGCCATGCAAAATGGGGAGCAGCCTTTCCCACATCCATAAACCCTCACACTCCCCCCTTAAAAGATTTGAACTCAGGACCTCCAAGTTCAAATTCCAAGCTCAAACCACTGACGTCCCTTATGGACTCTGCCATATATATAAACATAAAGGAAGATCAAACCAGCTGAGCAAAGCTTCAAAGGATAAAGAAAACAGGGACTGCAGGCAGCTTACTCAGATGACCAGTAAAAGATTGACGCTAAAGCAAATAAAATAAGCGGCACCAGAGGTACAAACTGTTATGAATCCAACATTTAACTTACGAGACTCAGATTTCTTCTCAGAAGCCTCCAAGACAAGTTGGTCATCATGAACATCTGGATGAGAACGATCCACAGGATCCAGATCCAGACCCACATACCAATTCTTCTTAACTCTCCTACGAGGTACTTCCAATTTATCAGTCATCATGTATCCTGACACCCTAGAATAGAAAATATAAATGACAAGTGAGCTCGAGCACACCACAACAAAATTTCCTAAGCCATTAACATAGCATTAGTACAAACATGCCTGAAAAAGAGAACTTCTCCATTATAGGTAGCCAAAGCAATCTCCCTCACACCATCCTTGTCAATATCATACAGGAGAGGACTTGCGTGCACTGTTGACTGGTGAAATGCAGGCCAACCTGATGAAAATGTTGCAGTTTAACTCCTATTCATAGCATCAAAGTGATCCAATCCAAGATAAACGAAACTTTACCTGGCATTTTGTCTCCATCGGAACCTTCTAGAACTTCAAGATAGTGAACAAAAGAAGGAACCACTATATCAAGTTTTCCATCACTAAAACAAATGCATACAAATTAACATTAAAATCCAAATAATAATTTAAAATATAAAATAAATAAAATGATGGGAGTTGTTTTTATCACCTATTGATATCGGCGATCAACGGAGTAGCGTAAACGCTAGAGCTCACTTCAGTTTGCCACCTCAGCTCTAAATTTCTAGGGCACTGCGTGTTCAACAAAGCATCCTCATCTCTAAACACATAGGAATTCAAATTAACCAAAATTGTATGTATATCTGTCTATCATTAGTTTAGCAGAATTCATTAAAAAGAAAAGGATTGAAATGTGAACTCACAAGTGAGGGTAACCAAGAGCATCATCGGTAGCTTCTCGGTCTCGAAATTTACTCTTGTTGGATTCCTCTCCATGGATGGAAGAGGTGAATAATAAGAAGCAGACCAAGAGAACCCTAGGCGCTGAGGGTTCCATGTGATCGAGTTTTTGGTTTTTCAATGACTGTACGATTTCTGGAGTTAACAGAATGCAGAAATGAGGAATTGATAAACCCTGCGCCTTGCCCTGGTTAGGGTTCCTTCTATGGGTGGGATCTAATGAGTTTTCAGGATGAAGAAGAGGAGTCGATTTAAATGTTTATTTTCGAAATGCCCCTTTGGTTTTTTGTAGTGTTGTTGTTGCTGTTGTTGTTGTTATTATTTGCCATTATTACATGCAGGTAGTATTTAATTTAATTAAGAGGTTTGGGGGTCACCTGATTTTTTATGCTCCCGGCTACGTTACTACAGTGTCGATGAGAGTATTTTATTTTTTGGCCTTTTTTATATAAAGGGCGGAAAGTTGTTTTTTAGTAGGTTTTCAAATAATTTTTATGATAAAATATATATTAATAATATTTTTTTATTTTTAAAAATTATTTTTTATATCAACATATTAAAATAATTCATGATATATAAAATATATTAAATTTTACCTAAAAAAATTTTAAATTTTTTAGAAACACAATTTACACCATATTTCTAAATAACATTTTAATCTAATGAAAAAAATAATAATTAACCAAAACAACTAGATAAACATTTAACTGTTTAGAAACCGCTGCACGCACTCCATTTTATTGTTAATTCGCTAATATTTTTATCACTTTCTTACATCTTAATCCCTGTAGTTTTGCATAGTTTATAATTTGGTTACTGAATTTTATTTTATTTCAATTTTGTATCTTGAAGTTATGTTTTCAAGGTTTTATATGCTGAATTTTGTTTTTAATTTTTTTTATTGGTGCTTCTTTCAATTTCTAGCATCAAATTCTTGACTAATTTTACAAAAAAGAGTTTTAGCTTTTAGTTAAAAACAAATTGAGAGATGAAGGATCAAGATTGACATAAAAGAGGAAACAAAGCTCTTTTCTGCAAAAGGCAAGCAAAGATTATTTATTTGGTCCTCAAGTTTCAATTTTTTCACATCCCATCCCTACTCTCCATGTTATTATTATTTGGTCCTAAATTTTATTCATGTTTCAATCCTTTAGGGTTGAGTGAAGAGAAAAAGTCATCGGAATGGTTAAGGAGAGAGTTAGCTCTTTACCACCAATAATTTTGATATTGGTGTTTATAAATTTTGTATTGAGAGAGAAACTCAATAGAAGTGATTTTTATCTATAATGATGCTTGAAAAAAATAGATTGAACCTCAATAAAATTTTAATTTTAATTTGGTTTTGAGTTTTTAAACTTAAAATATATTTTATTGTTGAAAATTAAGTTTTAGAAGTTCACAAGATTTTTTTTCTCATGCTATTAGGTGAAAAAGAAAACCAAAAACTAGGCATGGGTCTAAAAATTTGAATCTTGATTTTTTAATAACTAGACTCACCTTTAATAACAACAAAAATTGAAAAAAAAAAAAATCAAGCAAGCATCACACTGCTATTTCAATTTTTAAAAAGAATTAAGGGCGGTTGATTGCTACTTGTCATTAAGAAAAAAACTACTAGGCATGCTTGGGTTTTTTTTAATTATGGGTTAGATGTGCTGGCCTATTCTTCTAGCCCGCATGTGACTAACCCTCCTTTTTATAATGGCTATTTAATTTTTTTATTATTTTTTTTTTATTTTATAAATAATTTTATTTAAATGATATATAGATAATTATTCTATTAAGTAAATGTTTTCAAATAATATTAGCATTTTTACAGTAAATATTACTTTCTAAATAATTACATACTAAATTTAATATGCATAGTTTTCTAAAATATTTACTCATAAATATTCAATGCCATGAAATATATTTTGTCATTTTTTTTATTGTAATCTTTTATATATTTTTTAAAAAATTTATATTCTTATATTTTAAATACATTTGCATTAAAATTATCAATTCAAGATTTTGTTTATTTGTTATTAAAATTTTCTTTTAAAATCACTATAAGTTACCATTTAAAAACAATATTTCAAATAAAAAGAACATTTTGTCAAGTGCGAGGGGTTTGGTTTAAAAAATACTTTTATTTTCTCCTTATTTCAAATCATTGAGATTTTTTTTCATATAATTTTTTTAATTGCTTTCAATTTCAATGCAATAAACGCATTGCTAAAAAATATATGTTTTTTTGTTAAAAAAATACATTAACAAGAAAAAGAGAATTAGACTATATATATATATATAGAATCTAAATCATTACATTTTTTATAAAAATCAATTTTTATTATCATTTAATTAAGTAAAAAATCCAAAAAATATATCATTGCATGAGATAAAATATTTGCACGTGCATAGGCATCTCCTGCTATGTCGTTGACCGGGCCAAATTATTCCTAATGTTAAAGATACTCAAGCATTGCTAGCATTTTAAAAAAATTAAGAAAAATCTAAGACTTTAATTATTAACTCCACTAAATTCAATAATTTCAGTTAATTTAATAATATAATTAAAAAAATAGATAATAACAATAAATAAATCGAGATAAACAACAAAAATGGCAATGGCTAACTACAAAAAAATAAATGTTTGTCAATATCATAAAAGATATCCTTCTGGTATTCCTAAAAGGTCTCCGTGATCATTTTTGATAATATAGCAAAATCAAATGAGAATGAGATGACCTTATAAAAAGTAAAAACAAAAAATAAAGTTCAATTTCTAGTAAATCAAATGTTAAAGGACGAAGTTGAAGGAAAAAAACAATTTTTTTTTTAAAAAAAACCTTAGTCCACTTGAGTTAGTTTGTCGAATCGGCGACTTGGTCGTAAAATCATGATAAACTTGTAGAAAGTAGATTGAATAAACTACAAAACTCAATTATCAATTCTCAATTCAATTCAATTTTAAAAGATAAAATTGAAAAAAAAATCATCATTTAAAAAATTCGATGAAAAAATAAGACTTGAGTTAACTCAAGCTAACTTGTCAAGCCACAATTTAAGACTTGAGATCAAGATAACCTTATAAAAAGAAAAGTGAAATAAACGACATAGTTCAATCCCCAACTAATCCAATATTGAAGAATAAAATTTAAAAATTTTAATTTTAAAAACTAAAAAAAATATTGAAGTCAACTTGAGCTAATCTTCTAAGCCCATGACATTGGTCATAAGGCCGGGATTAACTCATTAAAAGGCAAATTAAAAAAAAATCATGATGATAATTTCTCAATCAACCAAATACTTATGGATTGAATAAAAAAAATCAAAAAAAGATTCCAAAAATAAACAAATAGCAATAAAAAAATAAAGATTAAATTTGACATAAAAATAAAATGCAACCAAATATTAAGGGGTGAAAAAAAGCTCAATTAAGAAAAATGATCCAAAACAAAACAAATAGAAATAAAAAGAATGATGATCAAATTTGATATAAATTCTAAATGAAACTAAATGTCAAGTGATAAAATTGAAAACAAAAATCAATTAAAAAAAATAAATAGTAATCAAAATAAAGAGTATAGAATTTGATGCAAAAACAAAATGATTAGACAACTTTTATATTTTTAAAAACCAATATGAATCCTGATCAAAGAAGAGAGAAAATAGGGAGAAGAAGAAAGAAAAGGTTATTAGAGTCTCGCAACCAATCCATCACCAACCTACGTCGGACAATTAAAAAGATTGGTGCACTATTTCTAACTTAATCACAGACAACGATGTTATGCCACTAGACAAAATTGCACATGTCACTAGAGTATGAAAGCTTTGCATATACTAACGAGTGCGTTGCACGCACTGAAAAATTTGTCATGCCTATTCTTTTTAGTTTGTGGAATTATTTTGGTGTCAAATTGAATCCCTTGAGCCTTAGTTTTCTAAATCAATAAAATTAAATTTTATTTTGCAAAATTAAGCATCAAACACGTTTTAAATTTTTTTCCATCACATCATAGGATTCCCATGTATAGGCAACTGAGAAAAAAAAAACTATTAATTCTAATAATAAAAAAAACTTAATATAAAAGGATTAAATTTTTTAAAAAAAAAAAAGAAAAAAGAGTTAAATTTCTCTCCTTCCTAATGCAATTCAGCCCCTGGTGCGTACAAGAAAAAAAGTGCTCAATACTTGTCTAGTGTTCAGATTAAGTCATTACTTTAATTTTTTTTATCCAAATCAATTTTTTCAAATCAAGCATCAATCAAGAATCAATTTTCTTTCTCAAGACCACGAGTAACCAATACCAAGCCAGACAAAGCAAACAACTAACTTCATTTCCAAATTAATAAAGGATCAATTAAAAAATAAGTGACTGGAACAAGAAAAAAAGAAAACAATGTTTGAGTCCACAATGTTTCCTCTTATAGAGCACAATACATCATCTAACTCTTTTATTGTTTTTATATAATTAGCATTAATAACTCTTTTTTTTATGATTTGTTGGTATGATATATTTTTCAATTTATTTTATTAAACGCAAGCATCAACTTTACAATTCTCAATTAAAAAATCTCATGGTACTAAAAACATGCTCGCAACACTTACTCTTTATTCTTTTGGTTTAGAAATTAACTTGGAATATTACATGTGATGTAAATTGGTACTTAACTAGTGTAAAACTAAATTGTTGATATTTTTTCCATAAAAATAATTTTCTTTAAAATTTTCAATAACATTAAGAGATTGCAACCATGATTGTTAAAAACAAGTTTTGACTCGTAAGGTGATTTTACGAGTCAAAAGGCAACGTGTAAAATTGAGTTTAAAACTTGAAAAGCAGTAAAATTAGTCAAACCTGGTTAAACTCGCATGAAATCGGGTCAACCCGTAAAAAACATAAAAACCAGTTCGAATTCATGATTTCTGCTAAAATGAAATACAATGCGAACTGCCCTTTTACTTTACCCTTTCCCTTGTCAATGTACACATTCTCCTTTTCTACTTTACCCTTTTGCCTTTTCCCCCATCCAGATTTGCAAGAAGTAAGAATCCTGAAATCACAGCAACCAAGTAGAACAAGAAATCAAACTAAAAAATGAGAAATTGGTTCTATTCAACAGCAACGTCTTTGATTTTACACGTTTCGACTCTCCGCTCACCAGAACGTAAGAATTTATACCGATGATGTTGTTGCATGAGAATTGTATCCTTGTAATTATATGTTCTATGTTTTATTCATGTTTTATGTTTTATTCAATGGTGGTTTATTTTGCCATGTTTTATGTTCTTGCATGAGAAATAAATTAGTAACTGAACTAATAAAAGTA